AGTGCCTCAATTTAATGTGCACTATTTCTAGCAGTCTGCAAAGGCCTATAGTCTTGTTGTTGTTGTTGTTGTTGTTGTGTGCCTTCAAGTTGTTTCCAGTTTATGGCGACCCTATCATGAGGTTTCCTTGGCAGGATTTGCTGAGAGGCAGGGTAACCAGAGGTCCTCCTTTTCCAGGACTCACCCTACATTTCAGCCTTCTGTCCAGGAGGAATGCCAAAATGCCCCCCCCCCCTTTTGAGCATGACTAAGAAGCATGAATTTACATTTATATCAGAGTTCCTAGCTTTCATTTGGTTGTGTCCTACATTTTTTCTTGAATGCCCAACATTTTGTGGTGCCTTGTCCCCCTTTGCGGTTAGGACGCCTGGTCACCCTGCCCAGAGGAGGTTTGCCATTGAGGCTGAGAGAGTGTGACTTGCCCAAGGTCAACCAGTGGTTTCCATGGCCGAACTGGGATTCGAACCCTGGTCCTCCAGAGTTGTAGTCCAACACTCAAACCACTGAGCCGCACTGGCTCAAATATAGTCTTGGGTACTTCTTTTTCGCCAGGGGAAAAAAAATCCAGGGAAGCTGGATTATATTTATTTGTATTATTATTGTTGTTTTGTTGTTGCTATTTGGTGGGAAGCTAGCTGAACTCTCCTCTTCTGGATCTTCTGTCAAACATCTGGATTCTCTTTCACTCCTCCCTTCAGTTCAGTAAATGAGTTTATTTGGAAAACTAGAGAGAAGGGGGAAAAATCTCTTTTTCTCTCTTTTTTAATAAAAAATCTTCAGTAAGCCTAACACAGAAGATGGGGGCTTCCCTCCCCCCCCCATTTTGTATACAAAGATTTTTGAAATTTTGCGCCTGGCTTTCTTTGCGGTTTTTAAAGGAAACAAAAAGAGCCCCACATCCGAAAGAGTGGCCACAGAAGCAGAGCATTGAATGGACTTTTCTTCCTCTATTGTTTACATTCTGAACAGAAGGAGTTGAAGAGAGCAAGATGGGAACCTTTTTTATTCTATTTTTTTGTGGAAAAGTTCGCTGTTAAAAACCCTGCTGGTGAATAGTTTGAAAAACTAGAGGGCCTGGAAGAAGGGAGATCTGGAGATGCTGCCACACTGGAGAATCAATGCAGTTTGATACCGCTTTGTCATGGTTCCATCCTACAGACTCTGAGGATTTGTAGTTTTTTGTGGCAAAGTTCTCTGTTGTTGTTGTTGTTGTGTGCCTTCAAGTCATTTCCGACTTATGGCAACCCGAAGGCGAACATATCATGGGGTTTTCTTGGCAAGATTTGTTCAGAGGGGGTTTGCCATTGCTTTCCCCTGAGGCTGAGAGAGTGTGACTTGCCCAAGGTCATCCAGTGGGCTTCATGGCTGATCTAGGAATCGAACCCCGGTCTCTACTCAAACCACTACAACACCCTAGCTCCCAACCTCTCTGACGGCAGCTAAGGGGGGTTGCAGACTGCAGGGTTAGTGCTAGGGAATCATGGGAATTTGTTTTTTCTGAGACATTGAGCCTTCTCTGTCAGAGAGCTCTGGTGCCACAATAAAATACAGTTCCCATGATTCTCTAACCCTAACCCTAACCCTAAAAGTGGACTCAATTTGCACTATTTCTGGCAGTCTGCAACCCCCCTAAGTATCTCACAAAACTACAAACCCCAGAAGGCCGTAGCTTTGAGCCATGGCAGTAAAAGCAGAGTCAAACTGCGTTAATTCTGCAGTGTAGATGCAACCTGGGAAAGGTGTAGAGAAGGGGGGAAGACTGCCACCACACAAATTCTGGTGAAGAGGGGAGGAGTGTCTTTGTAGTGGATATAAATATATTCCTTATTTTAAGGGATTGGCCAGGCTTGTGTTAAGGCAACTCTTCTTTTACTGCCTGGAGGGAGTCCCAAACTGGTTATTCTGGGTCTGCTGCTTTGAATGGGTTTGATTTGTATCTCTGGAGGGAGGTAATGCCTGAAAACCAACAAGTGGCAACAAGTGTGCTTTTACTTTGGGGATGGGGATGGACAAGATTTCATCCCAGAATGAGGGTAATAATAATAATAATAATAATAATAATAATAATAATAATAATAATAATAATGGAAGTCTAATAATTCTAATGTTGGCCAGTGGCTCTTTCCCTCTTGGCAGGCACAAGGTGAGGGGTCTCAAAAAGTTGGAGCTATTTGTGTGTTTATTATTATTATAATTATAATTATTAGTATTTCTTACCTGCCTCTCCCCATGGATCAAGGTGAAGAACAACAACAATTAACAGACAAACAACATCAATTAAAAGACATTAGTTATTCCAATTTATAGCTAACTTGGGCTATAAAAAACAAGAATCCAATCACATCAGGGGGAGGTTAAAATGGACACAAGTCTGTGTATGAGTTAAGATTATTGGCTTGTTTTACCTGATTATGTAGCAGTCGTTCATTTTGTTTGTTTGGATGTTTAGTTATAAATGAGCGTTGTGTAATTTTTTTTTTTGTTTGTTTTTCTAGCGTCGATGTAGAAGTTGTATGTAGCGTTCTGTTGGCTGGTGATTTTATGCAGTAAAATTAATTTAAAAATCAATTTAAAAAAGACATCAGTTAAAACACGCATCAAAAGGACGGATGAGTTGTATTGTTATGTATTAAGCTCGCACAATACATGGTAAAGCAATCCACATTGTGTTGTGTTCCTTCAAGTTGTTTCCGACTTACGGTGACCCTAAGGCGAATCTCTCATGGAGTTTTCTTGGCAAGATTTGTTCAGAGGAGGTTAGCCATTGCCTTTCCTTTGAGGCTGAGAGAGTGTGACTTCCCCAAGGTGGGTTTCATGGCCAAGCGGGGAATTGAACCCTGGTCTCCAGAGTCATAGTCCAGCACTCAAACCACTTACCCATGCTGGCTTATTGCAAAGGGGAAAGGAGGCCGGGAGCCAAAGCTCTAGGGCAGGGGTAGGCAACCTTTCCCCTTTAAGGGCCGAGGGACTTCAGCTCCCAGAAGCCTCAGTCATGTTGGCCCATAGTCCCATGTTGGCCAATAGCTCCTGGGATTCTGGGAGCTGAAGTCCCTCGGCCCTTAAAGGGGAAAGGTTGCCTACCCCTGGTCTAGGGATTGGTGTGACCTGTTTGTCGTCTCCCAGACATAGCTCATTACAAATGAAAATGCCACATAGTTATATAAAATGGAGGAGAGAAGAGAGATAAGGTGGCACTGAGCCAAACGTTTGACCATGTGTTCTCAGTTCATTGAATTAACTGAAAGGTCAGAACAGCTTGAAGGGGGAAGAATTTGCAGCCCTATTGGTTTCCTTGAACCAGGTGAGTGACAGGGCAACCTGGTTGTTCATAACAGAATCGAATCCATAGAGTTTGGAGAGACCTCAAGGGCCATCCAGTCCAATCCCTTGCCATGCAGGAACACACAGTCAAGGCACTCCCGCCAGATGCCCAACCAGCCTCACTTTAACAACCTCCAAAGAAGGAGACTCCATGATACTTTGAAGCAGCGTTTTCTACAGTCAAAGAGCTCTTACTGTCAGGAAGTTCTTCCTAAAATTAAGGCAGAACCTCTTTCCCTGTAGTTTGAATCTTATTGCTCCAGGTCCTGTTTTCTGGAGATGCAGAAAGCAATCCTGCTCCATCTTCAGTATGACATCCTTGGAGATATTTAACCAGGGATATCATGTTACCTCTTAAGCTTCTTCCTCCAGGCTAAACATACCCAGCTCCCTTTACAGACTGCCAGAAATAATGCTGCTTGAGGCCGCTTTATCCTGGTTCAGTGCTGAGGAATCATGGGAACTGTAGTTTATTGTGGCACCAGAACTCTCTGACAGAGAATGCTAAATGTCCCAGAAAAAAAATACAGTTCCCATGATTCCCTAGCACTGAGCCAAGGCAGTTAATTGATTAATCCCTTTGATTAGTCTTCCCGGTCACAAGACCCAGATTAACTGTTTCCCTTTCCCTTCCTTTCATAGTGCTGCCATAACAGCTGTTTCTGTTGTTGTTGTTGTTGTTGTTGTTGTTGTGTGTCATTAATTTTTATTGTAAATCATTGGCTTTGCCAAATTTAAATATTGTTTTAATCAATGATTGTTTAATAACTTTTTAAGGGGCGGGATGGTTGGGTTTGGGATTAATTTTACTGTATTGTATTCATGTTGGAAGCCGCCCCGATTGCTATGCAGAGGGGCAGGGTATAAATAAATTTTATTATTATTATTATTATTAAAGTGGCCTCAAGCTGCATTATTTCTGGCAGTCTGTACAGGCCCTAAGTCGTTCCTCACAGGGTAGAGTTTGTTGTCTTCAGTGTAGCAAAACAAAACAAATATGGCAGCTAGAGACTTAGCAGTTGCATGGTGTCTTGGAAGTCTTTCATAGGGTTGCCATAAGTCAAAGCCAGGTTGATGGCAATTACCTGTTAAGCTTACCTTAAGTAACAACATGACTTTTGCATTGGGGAAAATGTGGAAGTTTTGTGCAATTCTAATTGTGTATTTGCATTCTGGGATTTTTATTTTTTTGCAAAATTTCATTTGCGCATGAAAATGTGTTTTGTGCAAAATAAAATTTTGTTTGGAGAAAATACAGTGGCTGTTTTGAACAGAAAATAGTGGAGTTGGGAGAGAGTGGAGGCGAGAGTGAAAACTCACAGTTTCTGATAATGAGAAAATGTATGAATAGTTTTGTCAGGTTTCAATGATGAGAAAATGTGTGAATATTCATTACATCCCTAGTATGTACTGCCTTCTCACATGCTTGTTTCATTGACCACAAATATACAGATAGAGCCTGTGTGAATATTGCCCCTGGCTTATGGAAGCACCTGATTGTAATACATTTTCTGCATACTTAGCTGGAATTCCAAAATTTGAAATACTCCAAAACCCCAAACTTTTCATGGGTGGCTGAGGTAGTGACACCTTTGCTTTTCAGTGTACAGAAAGGCCCCATTCACACTATGAAATAATCCGGTGTGGAACCCGGGTGGTTTCATAGGTGTTCACACTCCCTGACTGCACTTGCTGCAATTTGAGGGGCACCAAAACCCCATTTGATCTGGTGCATTTGACTAGCATCAACTAGCGAGGTTTGTTTTTTCTGGCGCCACAAGGATTTGGATCTTTGGTAGTGGGAACTACTGATCTGGGTCCGCGCTTTTGCTTCCTCCCCCTCCTCTTCCTCTCCCCTGTGTTGCTTCCTCCGGCATTCACTCTCCTCCTTCTTCATCTTCCTCCTCTTCCTCTTCCTCGACTCACTGCTACCACATCCATACTCTTCCTCCTTCCTCCTCCTCTTCCTTGCCCCCTCATCCCTCCTCTTCTTCCTTCCTCTTTCCTCCTCTTCCTTGCCCCCTCACTATTGTCACCACCGCCACATCCCTCTTCTTCCTCCTTCTTCCTCTTCCTCGCCTCCCCTTGCTGCCGCCACCCTCTTCCTCCGGTGTGAACAGCAAGGAGCAATTTGATCAGGGTAAACATAGTGGAAACGATGAACCTGATCGATTCGGTGTGGCATCGCTGAAGAGACCCAGATCTCCTTGATGCAAAAATGTAAGTGTGAAAGGGCCCACATGCACAAAATTATTTTAAAAGGTTGTATAAAAGTACCTTTGGGCTATGTTTATACAGTGCGTATGAAACATAAATGGATTTCATGTTTACACTTGAATCCCATCTCTAAGATATCTTAATAGGTGTGTTTTTCCTTTCCCTGATTTGGTGATCCATGGATTTGATTAATACAGGGGTAGGCAACCCAAGACCCGGGGGCCGGATGCGGCCCCCAAGGCCTTTGGACCGGCCCCAGACTGGTCCTGCTGCTGCCGCCGCCCCCTGCCACCCCCCATTGCCGCCGCTGCCCGCCATGATGATATTGATTATTGTTGT